TGGGGGCGATATGCTGACTCTGTAAACGCTTAGAGAGGGCTGAAAGCCCTATGAAGCGGTATATAAGTCGAACTGCTATTGCGATTTGAACCGCCAAACTGCAGATAACAGTCAGCTGAAGTAGCCTGCAGTACTGCACTCTACCCACTGCGCCACCTCGGCTCTTGTTCCACCTAGAACATTTGGAGAACATCCTTGAGAAATGCAATACGGTACCACAACTCTAATAGACTAAGAACACGACGTATGTTTTCATTTGCTACACTTATCATTTAACCAGCACATTCCAAAGCTGTGCTCATAGATTCCTGGGCCAATCAGATGAGAGGGAAGGACAGACATTGAGTGACCTTACAGTGCTTGGCTAAGATCCCACTATCTTACGGAGTCAATTGTGAGTGTGCCAACAGAGCTACTATCACGTCAGACTTGCTCTCTACTACAGGCTTGAGCAATGTAGAGAATGTCATTCCTTTGATCCGTTTTTTTTTTTAAACTATCCCCAAATGATGCATAATTATGTCCACATTCTTCTACTCTTCTAGCTCAAGACTTTGAAAGCATTGTTTTTCAAGCTTTTGGACAGCGATTCGTACTTTCTCACAAATTGTGACAGGGTGGCAAGAATGCACTTATGGTATGATAAGGACATATTTTAAGTTTAAAAAGTTACCTACCAAAGCATGAGGTACAGCTGTTTCTTTGTTACTCGTTTTTCAATATGGAAATGCAGAATATAAAATATTTCAAGCCTGTGGCATGCGAGGAAATAGAAGTGGCTACAAACACGAAGAAAAGTTTTTTTTTTCTCCATAGAGAGGAACTGCAGAGTGAACCGAAACATCCTTATCTGAAAGAACAAAATGTGAATTTTGTAATGTCTTAGGCAGAACTAGAATGCACATGACATTCTGGTTCCGCCTAAGACATTAGTCAGAACCTTGTCCATGATTAAAACAAGGAAATCCTAAATAATGATACTGGAAATCAAGAGGCAATCTCATGTGGAAACAGATGTTATGGCAATTTATAATCATATCCTTAGGAGGCTGATCCAAGGAAAACATTTTCCTGCATGGATGAGTATTTATTTACATAGGAACCCTAAAATTTTTGCCAATAGCTTGAGAAATATTGCTGTGGTCTAAAATAATCTGTTTAGCAGCTTAGTTGGCTTTTAAGTAATCAAAATGTTAAAATTTGAAAAGACAAACAATAAACATTGAATACAGTTAAAACAAGAAAGAATAAAAACACTGTTAAGTCAACACATCTATCATGCCTCTGAAATACAAGTACTCCTCAACAATTGGGACCAGAGTTACCACTGCTGAGCAAGATGACTGTGAAGTGAGTCTTGTCCAATGTTATGATGTTTTTCGCCATGGTTCTTAAGTGGTTGTTAAGTGAATCAGACAGTCTTTAAGCGAATCTGGTTTTCTCCATTGATTTTGCTTGCCAGAAACCAGCTGGGAAGATTGCAAAAAAGACCATCACATGACCTCAGGACACTGCAACCATTGGATATAAATGCTGGTTGCCGAGTGCCCAC